GCGGGCCGCCCTCCCCGCCTCAGCCTCCTCTCCTGCTCAGGTCCGCATCGCGCTGCAGCTGGACGACGGCTCCAGGTTGCAGGGCACTTTCTGTTCCGGGCAGACCCTCTGGGAGCTCCTCAGCCATTTTGCTCAGACCAGGTGAGTGTCAGGGAGGGCCCGGTGGGGCCTGCACTGCGTGGGCGCTGCATCCTGTGGGGACGGGTCGGGGGCGAGGGCTGCTGTGCACCAGCCTTCCTGGCCGGTGCTGGTCACCAGCAGCGCGTCTTTCCGGGCGTGGCTTCCTGGTGCCCTCTTTGCGCCCTTTGGGGGGCTGAGCGGCCCCACGCAGGAGGGGAGAAGCGGGTGCTGACAAATGCTCACCAGGAAAATGGGTCGTGTTGGTTTATTTATTTATTTTTTAATTGTGTTCAGAGAGGAAGGAAGAGGGAAGGGGAGATAGAAACATCAGTGATGAGAGAGAATCACTGATCGGCTGCCTCCTGCATGATCCGGGATCAAGCCCGAAACCCAGGCCTGTGCCCTGACCGGGAATCGAACCGTGACCTCCTGATTCATAGGTAGATGCTCAACCACTGAGCCACTACGGCCGTGCGTGGGTCGTGTAAAGAGAAAGTTCTGTTGATGATGATGGGTGTGTGTCAGTTTCTGCCGAATGAACAGCGTGAATTCTGCCCCTTTAAGTTTGGTCTCTCGTGTGATGGAACTCTGTCCCCTGTGAAGCTCGGCCAGCAGAAGGGAAGGGACCCCACAGATGAGGAGGAAGCAGAGGCAGGAGCACAGGCTCCACGTGTGGGGACCTGCTGATGGGGCAGAGAGCTCGGGCACCGCGGTTCAGGGTCACACAGGCCCTGCAGGAGGGGTCGGCTTCTGTGCTGTGCTGAAGCTGTAGTTCACGCGGGGACAGTGACGACCGCTCCTGCAGGAAAGGGGGTGATGGCAGGAGGCCCCCAGCCGCGGGAGAATGTCCGTCCTTAACACGAGTGCTGGGCCCAGTCACTGCGCCCTTTCTCTGTTGCTTACGAGCAGGTCACGTCCCTCCTAGAAACCCCTCCGCGTCGTCTCCACGCGGTGCAGGTCCAGTGTGTGGGCTGCTCGTGCACCAGCCACCAATCCCCTCTGTGTAGTTCCTCCCGAGAGGGGGTTCCAGAGGCAGAGCGGCTGGGCGGCCGTGAGGGGCACCCCACGTTTGAGCTCCAAGAGCTGCCAGCCCAGCTTTCCTGGGAAGCTGCTCCTTGGCAGAGGTCACTAACAGAGAAGCAGGGTGAAGTGGGTGCCCATGGGGACGGGCGGCAGCATCAGCCCCAAAGCAAGGCCAGGGGCCTGATTGGCTGGGGCCATGCGGGGGCTGGGCAGGACCAGTAGCTGCCTTCGGCTGCAAGGACCCCGCTGGCGGGGGGCAGGGGCTCAGACTCTGGGTCCCACAGGAGGGGCCGTGCAGGGAGCTCGGGGAAGAGGCAGGCGCCCCAGGACAGGTGGCGGGCGGGTCTCGGCAGAGCCATGGGGTGAGTGGGCACCGGGCCACGTCCTCTGCATAGGGATCAGGGAGTTGGTGGTCCAGCTCTGACCTCTGACCCCCGAGTCTGGGGCTACTCACTAGCCACGTGACACACACGTGGCCACATGTGCGTGCGCAGAGGCGGTGAGGAATCTTCTGGTCGCCACATCAAAGGAGAGTAAAAACACGGGCAGTTAACTTTAGGAATTTGATGAACTTGACTCAGTATATCCAGAACGTTTCCCTGCGACCGTGTGCTCCGCAGGAAGAACGAGGTGTTCTGAGTTCTTTGGGGTAGGAGGTCTCACCTGGAGCAGACCCCGCTTGGGCCGGCCACCGGGCGAGCTCGGGGCCTACCTGGGCTGGTCGCTGCCTCGGATGGCACTGCCTGGACCTGGACTGGCCAGTCCTCCCTACCTCTTGGGTGTCAGCTGCCGGAGGGCCTCCAGGCGAGGGCTCCTTGCCCGCCACCCCAGGTTGCATCTGCCCCGAGGCCTGGGCCTTCTGCTCCCAGCCTGACTTCACAGCCGCGCCCGCGGCTCCATCCCCCCAAGAGCACACCCCGAACCCAGTGTCCCCGGGAAGGCCGGCGTGTGCCTGCTTCTCCTGTGGGGGCCCTGAGGTGGGGTGTGT